TTGCAGCCGTTTCTGTATTACCTTTAGTAAAACTGTACTCACATGGGATATAAAATATATTGTCCGATGATTTTTGCATTCCACTGGGTCACCTCTCTTTGGAATGGGCACAAATACGGATCTCTTCCAATCAGTTGGCCAGATAGTTGTCTTCCAAATTTCTTGGCAAAGATGAATTAGTGCCTCCAGTGCTGCCTTACTTTCTCGAAAGATTTCAATTTTTATTCCATCAATTCCTGATGCCTTGTTCTTTGCCAATTCCTTCAATGCATATTAGACTTCCTCCTTCAGTATCATTGGCTCTGGATCATATGCTACCTCTTGAAACGGCTGAACATCAGCCATTTCCTTTTGGTACAGTGACTCTGTTTATTCCTTCCATCGTCTTTTGATATTTTCTGCATCATTCAATAATTTGCCCAGAGAATCCTTCAATAACAAAAGTCGAGACTTGAATTTTTTCTTCAGTTCCTCCAGCTTGAGAAATGCTAAGCGTTCTTCCTTTTTGGTTTTCTGACTCCAGATATTTGCACATTTTGTTGTAATATTTGACTTCGTCTTCTCGAGCTGACCTTTGAAATTTTCTGTTCAGCTCTTGTACCTCCTCATTTCTTCCATTTGCTTTAGCATCTCTACTGTGGAGAGCAAGTTTCAGTGTCTCTTCTGACATCCATTTAGACCTTTTCCTTCTTTTTTTTCTTCTTGGAGACTTTTCGCTTTCTTCCTGTATGTTGTTCTTGATGTCATCCCACAACTCTTCTGGTCTTTAGTGTTTAATGTATCAAATCTGTTCTTCAGATGATCCCTAAATTCAGGTGGGTTATATTCAAGGTCATATTTTGGCTCTCGTGGACTTGTTTTCATTTTCTTCAACTTCAGTTTGAATTTGCATATGAGCAATTGAGGGTCTGTTCCGCAACCTGCCCTTGGCCTTGTTTTCACTGATGATACAGAGCTTTTCCATCAACTCTTTCCACAGATGTAGTCAATTTGATTTCTGTATATTCCATCTGGTGAGGTCCATGTGTATAATCGTCTCTTATCCTTTCTAAAGAAGGTATTTAAAATGAACAAATCCTTGATTTTGCAGAATTCTATCATGTGATCTCCAGCATCATTTCTATCCCCAAGATAATATTTTCCAGCTACTGAGCCTTTCTCTTTGTTCTCAACCTTTGCATTTTAATCACCAGTAATGATGAATACATCTTGATGGCATGTTTGATCAATTTCAGATTGAAGAAGTTGGTAGAATTCTTCTATTTCATCCTCACCAGCTTTAGTGGTTGGCGTGTAAATTTGAATAATAGTGGTATTAACTGGGCTTCCCTTTAGGCACATGGATATTATCCTATCACAGACAGCATTGTACCTCATGACTGATCTGGATATGTTCCTTTTGACAATGAATGCAACACCATTCCTCTTAAATTTGTCATTCTCGGCATAGTAAACCATGTGATTGTCAGATTCAAAATGGCCAATACCAGTCCATTTCAGCTCACTAATGCCTAAGATATCGATGTTTATGCATTCCATCTTTTACAATTTCCAATTTTCCTAGATTCATACTTTGTACATTGCATGTTCCGATTTCAATGGATGTTTACAGCTGTTTCTCTTCATTTTGAGTTTTGCCCCATCAGCAAATGAAGGTCCTGAGGGCTTTTCTCCCACGGGCTTTACTCCATTCGTGTCATCAGGTCAACTCTACTTTGAGGAGGCAGCTCTTCCCCAGTTGTATTTTGAGTGCCTTCCAACCTGAGGGGCTCATTTTCTGGCACTATATATATCTGACAGTGTTTCTCTGCTATTCATAAGGTTTTCAGTAACTAAATATTCGGAAGTAGTTCGTCACTCCTGCTTCCTAGTCTGTCTTCGTCTGGAAGCTCATCTGAAACCTGTCCACCATGGGTGACCCTGCTGGTATTTAAAATATCCATGGCATAGCTTCCAGAATCACAGCAACTCACAAGGCACCTCAGTACAACAAACTGACAGCTGTGTGGTCGAAATTAAGAGTAGGAGTTATTATAAACAGCTGCATAGACATCTCAGGGTCTAATGAACAGCTTCCTCAATAGCATATGGCATGTCAGCTGCTGAGCAATAGCACCCCTCCATACTGTTTCCACTGTCACTGTCAGGATCCGTTTTGTCAGTGTCTCTGTTGGTCCTTCCAATAGTTGTTCCATATTCCTGCTGAGCAAGAGCAGAGCAGAGTGGGGCTGACTCAGTCAGGCTGGGTGCAAAGTGGATGACCAAAGGACAATGGGTGAAATCCACGTTAAAACCTGGAGTTCGAAAAACCAAAAGGGAAGACTATGCCAGCATTTCTTAGCTGAAAGAACTAAAGAAAGGAATAAACTTTCAACTTGGAATATTGAAGTAGTCTATGGGCAAAACGGAGGTTGGTGTTGCACTTTAGGATAAAGCTCTAGACCTCAAGGTCAGCTTGAACCACAAGTCTGGTGGTTTAAACCCACCAGCTGCTCCTTGGAAACCCTATATAGGGTTGGTATGAGTTAGGACTGACTTGATGCCACTTAACAACAACAACATAGGCAAAATATTGAATAAAGCAGGAAGCATCAAAAGAAGTTGGAAGGAATACTCAAG